AAACAAAGTTGATGCTGATAATCAAACTGTTTGTTCTCCTTTTCCCCTCAAATTGGAATCGAAAAAAGAATCGATAAAGAATCGAATCGTTTCATAGAATCGAAAAGGGAATCAAAATCGTGAAAATCTTTTCAATTCCCAACCCTAAACACTAGTGATAAACAACCTTTTACACCATTCCTGCCAAATGCAGACAGTTCTTGCCTTTCTCTTTAGATAAAGCAGGTAAATCGTGGGATATTAACTCATGCTTAATTCAAAGTGAAAAGAAGTTATTGTAAAGCATGAATTAACGTCTTCAGGCATGCCCACAGTCGGTCCTCGGTGCTGCAGGTTTTAGATCTTTCCCTGCTCCAGCACAGCTGATTTTCATGAATAGCTGATTAACAGGCTTTTGCTGAACTGCAGTCACCAGAACCAGCAGTGCTGCAGCAGGGAGACCTCAGAAACCTGCAGGGCTGACTTCGGGCAGGCCTGGTCTAGATTGAATGGTTTGTGTCTATTTCAAAACAACAACATGCACACAATGAAGGAGAAAAGCGTGTCCTGGATCGCTGCCGGCATGAGCAACTTTTGACAGCTGGGGAGACACGGCTGGAGTGGGCAGGAAAAACCTCGTGGGTTTCAGACGGTGACAGGCAGCGGATTCGGACACCGACGTGTAGAGCAAATGGAGGCTGTGAGGATCTGATTGGCTGATCCGGCCGTCACTCCTCGGTGGCATTTACAGTCACCCATCGGAGACGTCAAAAGGGCAAGATAAGAAGCTTTAGCAGCGCGCTAACACCACATCGGCGACCCGCAGCCTCTCGTTAACAGACCTGAGTCAGTGACACCGCTTCTAAACATGGCTGACCGTTCTCTGCACATCAGCCCCGGCTGCCTGTTTCTGTCTGCGCTGTCAACATACTAACTTCATTCAGCGAATCAAACTTAGCCCTGCGGCCATTCCCACTTCACAACATTCCCCTCATTAAAATGGAGTCTCTCCTCTGATATGAACGATTCCTCCAGCGATGGTGTGTGGCGAATCAGCGGATAGGAAAACCAAAACAACAACTAGAAGGACGATTAGCCAAATGTAATCAGCTGGTCAGAGGAGCTGCACACACACCGGCAATTTGTTGCAAAACACCGCGCTATCAGATCAAGCTACGTAACGCCGCCACAGAAAGGGATAATCATTTAAAAAAAGGCGAATTGTGACTTAAATGTCGAAAATTAGATCGGTTTGTGGTCAAACGACAAGGTTAGCTGGACCACCGACCTTTAGCTGCTGTTAGCAGAGTTAGCTTCCCAGAGCTCGGCATTTTCTCCTACAAACTTCCCGATTTGAACGCATATATTAGCTAAGCTTACCTTCTTGCGTTTTTTGGACGATATCGTCCGATAAGGAAACACTTTCTAACAGGCAGGTGGAGGAAGGCTGCGCTCGCTGACATTACTGCTTCTGTTTCCAATTTAAACACCAAACAAGTCCAATATTAGGTGGATTCGGAATGATAAAATGTCAACAGGAGTAGCAGAAGAGGCAGGATCATCTGAAAGCTAACGTTAGCGTAGCTACGCTTGTTGTTGTGACCGAGGGGGAGGAACAGCGGCTGCACGGTAACAGGACTGTCAGACGGGTTTTTTTTTTCTCCCTAAACAAATGTGCGCCATATCGTCACAAGATGAAGGAGTTCACAAACTTAATGCTGCTCGCCGCGCGGAAAGCAAGAGAAGCGAGACATTTAAATGGCTTCCCGGGGGTCGGGTTGACTCACCTGCCGTGGCCTGGGAGTAGGGAAGCGGCGAAAGGGGAGCGGCTACTTCTCTCCCGCTGCCGTTCCGAGCTCGAGCTCTGGAATCTGCTGCGGTAGCAGCGCCTATCATGGACGCCGACAGAAATGGCGCTGCTTTCGCATCTAGTGCTTCTTCAACAGAGCGGCGGCGGAACTGGCGACATTCGGGCTCCCGCCCAGGGAAGGTCACTCCTCGATGACGGGAGATACTTGGAACCGCAATGTCCGTCGCCGACGAGCCAGTTTCATTCAGATGCGTCTGCTGAGTGCGCCACCCTCCGCGTTCGTATCTAGGCAACGGGACAAACCTCTACCGTCCCGCTGCGGTAGGTTTGATTCCTCCGCCTGGATTATTGCATCAGAAGTCCAACTAGTTCTCCCACAATTTATTTTAGATGAAACAAAACAGAGACTGTGACGTTAGAACAATAATTGTGACCAGAGTTTATGTTCCCAGATGTA